ACATAAACCCCCGCGCCGGCTAACTTTTTTGTATTTTTAGTAAGACGGCGGCTTCTCACCCGTGTTACGCCAGGACGGCTCGATCCTCTGCACCATCGTGAATCCGCCTCACCCCTGGCCTCCCAAGTGCAGGGATTAACCAGGCGGAGCCACCAGCGCCCCAGCCTGTAGTTTTTTTTTTTAGTAGAGACGGGGTCGTTCACCGTGTTCAGCCGGATTGGTCATCGACATCTCTGACCTCGCTGATCCGCCGTCTCGGCCTCCCAAGTGCTGGATTAACAGGCGTCCGAGCCACCTGCGCCCCGGCAACAAAAGTTACCTTTTTTTGACGCACGCGTCTTGGCTCTGTCACACCAGGCTAGAGTGCAGTGGCGCAATCCGACCTCACTGAAACTCTGCTCTCAGAATTCCAACCCGCGTCTTCTCATGCTTGGCCCTCCGAGTAGCTGGGATACAGGTGCCATAACCTACCCCACGCCCGCTGATTTGTATTTTGTAGAGATGGCGTTTCACCATGTTGGCCAGGTTGGTCTCGAACTCCTGACCTCAGGGGATCCACCCGCCTCTCACTCAGCTCCCAAAGAGCTGGGATTATAGGTGTGAGCCACCGCACCCGGCCAAGTTCTTAATTTTCTTATAAGCGTACTTAAGGCTGGGAGCAGTGGCTCGTGCCTGTAATCCTAACACTTTGGGAGACCAATGCAGGAGGATCACTTGAAGTCAGGTGTTTGAAGTCAGGTGTTTGAAGTCAGGAGTTTGAAACCAGCCTAGGCAACATAGCAAGACCCCATCTCCACACAAAAAAAAAATTAAAAAATTAGCTGGGCATTGTGGTGGACACCTGTAGTCGAAGCTACTTGGGAGGCTGAGGCAGGAAGATCACTTGAGCCCAGGAGTTCAAGGCTGCAGTGAGTTAGGACTGCACTCCAGCCTGGGTGACAAAGCAAGACCCCATCCCTAAAAAGAATAAAAATAAAAATAAATTTAAAAATAAAAAAATACTGGCTGGGCATGGTGGCTCACACCTGTAATCCCAGCACTCTGGGAGGCCAAGGAGGGTGGATCATCTGAGGTCAGGACTTTGAGACCAGCCTGGTCAACATGGTGAAACTCCGTTTCTAATAAAAATGCAAAAATTAGCCAGCATGGTGGCGGGTGCCTGTAATCTCAGCGACTCAGGAGGCTGAGGCAGGAGAATCGGAGGCCGGAAGGCGGAGGTTGCACTGAGCCGAGATTCTGCCACTGTGCTCCAGCCTGGGCAACAAGAACAAAACTTTGTCTCAAAAATAATAATAATAATAATAAAAATTTTTAAGTTTTTCAAAAACTTAATATTTTCTTTTTCTTAAATTCTTCAAAAGAGTCATCAGCTCATTCTCCTACATATTGCCAAAAGTTTTTACCATTTTTTAAAAATTCCTACTATGGGTTAGGCATGGTGGCTCATGCCTGTAACCCTAGCGCTTTGGGAGGCCAAGGCAGGTGAATCACTTGAGGTCAGGAGCTCAAGACCAGCCTCCTGGCCAACATGGTGAAACCTCGTCTCTACTAAAATTACAAAAATTGGCTGAGTACAGAAGCGCGTGCTTGTAGTTCCAACTACTCAGGAGGCTGAGGCATGAGAATCGCTTGAACCTAGGAAGCGGAGGTTGCAGTGAGCTGAGATTGTGCCACTGCACTCCAACCTAGGTGACAGAGCAAGACTGTCTCTCAAAAAAAAAAAAAAAAAATTCTACTCTGAAGAACACATTTTTGGAAATTCTGTTGTAAAATTTCTACTGATACAGAATATATTTACCATGCATTTTCAGCGTATCTCTTTGTGCCCTTTTTCCAAACAGTGTAAAAAACTTAAAATATTAATTCTATCTATTATCTTCCACTGACATGTTATGAAGAATTCTGTTCCACCTTTTGTCCTCCTAAACTGTTTCTTTTGATTAAC